AAAAAAAAAAAAAAGACGACAAAAATATATCGGAAATTGTAACAATCAATAAATAACAAATGAAAAAAACATCCAACCAACTTCCGAACTCATAAACAAAACTATATTACGCGCATCTTATTTACAGACAAACCAAGGCAACAATGTAAATTTTGTACCATTGACACAAAAATCTGTTTCCCAACAGTTGTAAAACCATTTTCATTTCATCCTGGCAAACAGTGTCTGCCACCTCCCCTTCCCACCACAAACATTACTCACAGAAATATTTTTCACACATAATGGAGGTAAAAAAAATGACAAGTTACAAAAAAAACCGCTGCATAACACACGAAAAGCAAACTTCTGAGCTCTAAACCCGCAACCTTGTTTACCACGGGCTCCGAAGACACAAAAAGACAGAACACTTAAATAAAATTAATCAAGAAGAGAACAGTATAAACGATATTAGTTAACGAAGTCAAAATTTGTGAAAACGGAACGGCAACATATAAAACAACTCATGTGAAAATTCGTGAGCTTGCAACGCACCGTCATAGAGATCTCGCATGACTTTGAAAAACACCGTAAAACTTAATATAACTTAAACGGTTAAACAGAAGAAGAGACAAGGAAAGAAGAAAGGAGAAGAGTAACACTAAAAACAAAGAATGCTCCCATAAAGATTATGTAGGCGTCACTTTACCACGCAGTATGTAACAATTTCAATCCCTTAAGCAACTTTTACCACTAACTTAAAAAAGCTAGTCGAAACCCGCTTGGAAAAGTGTCGTGGAAACAGAGCTCTAAAGCCACTAAACATTAAATAACTTAGGAAACAATATGGGAACAATTATTACTGTTAACCTGACAAGAAACCGTTATATCAATGACTCAACACCTCGTATATCCGTATGAAGAAAATATGAATAGGAACCGTAGTATGTGGTCAACTCCAGGAATAAAATCACGAGACATTAGTTAATTAGCCTATCGACCGTGTTACACAACCGCATAAGAGCCTGAATATGTACTGGCAAGCAAGAACGCCTCTCTCCTGTCACCAAATCTACATTTAACCACGAAAGCGCATTGTACGTTTCCAACACATACCTGAAGATCAAATCTTAAAGGTTTTGTAAAGGGTTTCTACCCAGGTATATAAATGAACTTCCTTTTAACTATGCTAGGAAAAATGTTATTCAAAAGCAGTTGTTACATTAAACTCTAAAGTCTCAAACAACTATTAGAGCAGCTCCTATGAAAAATTAATTTCAAGCGTAATAGATGCGCGCTAACCTTAGCACATCAACAGTAGACTGGCTATCGAGCTGGTGTTGGCAAGTTTCCGAACCTTTTGCGCTCAAAGTTATATCATCACCTTGTTGGACGTTGTTAGTGTTTAGATGAAGAGAACTTTTCAAGTGAACTGGATTCCTGCGTTTCGCAGAAGGACATGATGACCAAAACCACTCTGGAAGTTCAGATGCCGGCGCGGTGGAAATGTAATAGCCAGCAGCAAGTGGCTGGTTTTCAAACACATCTGAAAGATTGTGAATTACTATTCATACAAGAACAAAAATATATAGTTATCAAGTATTTATTAAAGCCAGACCTGTGTACTCTGTAGGAATACCAGTATTCCCTGTAATACGCATGCTAGTTGACTGTCCTGTAGTGTTAGGATTTAAATCTTCACTCTTAATTATAGCAGAAAATTCTTCTGGAATCTCCCCATCAAGCAAAGTTGAAAGGTCATCATAATCGTTGCCTCCTGCTCCTCCTTGGTGGTCAAGCTAAACAACATATCAATAGATAATTTCTCCGAGAAAGCCAAAGAAAACAACTCGTATGATTACGTTCAGTTCGGGACTGGTGGGAAATACAAGAATGTGTGTACAGCTAGCATCATCAGGAGTGTTTAATATACGGTAGCGGGCGTTCTTGGCAAATCTTTCATCATGTTGGAACGACGAGGGGAATACTCGCAAATGAGCCTCTGGTTCCAGACTGACCAAACAAGCTGAGAGCACACCGGGAACCTCCTAAATGTGGAAGAATATATTACACTAAAATTACAACTGAAAACTGCCATAAAAATTTGCTAGGGAAATAGAAACTAATAAAAGAAGAGAGCGCAAAAGCGTAACGACTCACCGCAGTTCCCGGCATTTGGTGGCAAGGGCGACAGGCCTGCTTCATGCGCGATGGAACTTGCTTTAAATACGATTTGCTCAGAAGTTGAGTCCAAACTGAAAACTGTCAGTTAGAAACAAATTAAACAACATCCCAATATACATGACAAAAAAAAATACAAATCCTAGCCACATAAATTATTACATTTAAACTCTCCATGTCCAATTCTCCCAACTTTACCAATGACAAGCCTCCAGTTTTTAGTACCCGTAGCTAAAGTGCCCAGAATGTACGACCAAAGACGGTACAAACTATCGCGAATCTGTGTTGACTGTTTGTAACGCAGATTCCCCCTGAAATCAACAGTGTAACTTTTCAATCCTGAATTGAGACAAGTGAATCGATAGATGAATAAAAGACCTTTTATGGTCCGGTTTTACTCGAAGGTTGATAAGACAGTTATCTAGAAGATGACCCTGATGGTCAGTTACCGCCGCTGCAAGAAAATCTAAGCCAATAAGGCAATAGCTGACAAAAAGCACCGTTTCTTCAGTGCTAATTTGCATCAGCTCGTTGTTCGGGCGCAGAATTACAGGTGGCGGAGGTGCGAGAATAAAAGGTTTGCTAGGCACCTAAAAATCAAAAGTGGTCTCAACTTACGTTCTAATAGCGTTGTGAAGAGAAGTAAATACCTATCTGAAAAAAGCAAAGGTAACGTATATGACGATAACAAGAAAAAGCAGAGGTTACTTTGTAAAAGACAGGATCCTCGTTCTTGCGCAATTTCTCAAGTAAATCATTCATAGCTGACGCCGGGCCAAACCGAGTCATGCTAGTTGGTAAGATGCTACCCACAACGTCAGGTAAAAGAATTCGCGATTGTGAATATACAGAAAATGCAATTGTTTTCATAGCATCCAAAGAGCTTAAACGTTCATTCAACGTCTTTTCCATACGACCTAAACAAAACAGGACCTGTAACGCAATTGCAACCTGATCTAGTAACAAAAACACAAGTTGTGATTCAAATTTCACCAAACAAACCCCAAAAAAACTCCAAAATGAAAAATTCTATTAATATTTTTCTAAATCCACTTCAGAAACAAACCCTGATCCAGAGCATTCAATTGACCACACTCATCTTTCAGTATGTCGACTGTAGTGCCATTGTAATCCAAGATAGTTTGTAGACCAATTATTTCCATTTGCAGTTGTGGCCTGTGACGCAAGTCAATGTGATCAAGCAGCGCCGTGAATGCTCTCATTAAGGCAACAGTAACTACACGAGCTACTAAAGGACTTTCATCAGCCCCCATCAAAAATGGGTTTACCTAGAAGTACTAGTTGTTAATGAGTGAATTTAAAAAAGACTTTTCTTCAGCAACAAAACAAAATTTTCTTACTGAAACAGCGAAAGCAGCTCACCAAGTAAAGGACAATCACATGAGGGAGTGTTCCAGATTCATCTTTAGCAAAGCCTTCTGCAATCTGTTCGGGAATTTGTGGTGGAGCAGCTACTGAAGATTGACCTTGGATTTCATTCCCCAAATTGGTTGTCCCTGACTGCTCTACACTGCAATTTATTGAACTGATTGGACTCGGACCACTGGGACCGGGCATTCCTGAAAATGAATCATCAT